AGGGCAGGTCCAGGGGTCGAATTCGAATAGGGGGAGAGAGTAGAAAAGGAGGAGGAAGAGGAGGGCGGGAGAAATGGACGAGAGGAGGAAGGGAAAGAGAGAGAGAGAGAGGGAGGAGGAGGAGGAGGAGGAGGAGGAGGAGGAGGAGGAGGACGTGTAGGAGGTGGAGGAGGAGGGGGAGGAGGAGGAGGAGGAGGAGGAGGAGGAGGAGGAGGACGAGGAGGACGAGGAGGACGAGGAGGAGGAGGAGGTCAGCCACGCGCCAGGAGGAGGAGGAGGAGGAGGAGGAGGAGGAGGAGGGAGGAAGGGGAAGAGAGAGAGGGAGAGAAGGAGGAGGAGGGGAAAGAGAGAGAGCGAGAGGAGGGAGCCACGTAGCCATTCTGGCTCACGGGGTTCGAGGGCCGAACCCTGCACGGGGGCACCCAGCGGGCGCCGATTGCGGCTCGCGGCCCTCGGCGGCGGGCCACGCCCCCTCGGCCTGGGGATGGGCCGCGGCGGGCGCGGTGGAGTGTCAGTGCGACGTGGGGCGGCGTTCGCTTCAGGCGCCGACGTCGGCCGAGGCCGCCGACCTGCTGCCCTGCGCGGGACACGGCGGCAGCCGGCGCGGCGGAGGCGGCGGCGGCGAGGCAGGCGGCCGGCCAGGCCCGACCTGGGCGGCCGCGCGCAGCAGCTGCCTGGGGCGGCGGCGGAGGTGGTGGCTATCTTCGAGGGCGCCACCCTGGCGGCGGGCCTGATCCGGCTTCGGCGGCAGGGGAGGCGGTTGCCACCGGCCAGCGAGCGCGGCCGCCGCGCGCTCGCTCGACGCGGGCGGGGGCCCTCCTGCGCCAGCCTGGCGAGGGGCAGGCGGTCCTCGCGCGGGCACGGGCTGGGCTGCAGGGTGATGCAGAGGCCAAGGTTTAAGTCGGGCGTGTCCCTCTACAGGGGGAATGTTCAAAAATAGTCAACAAAATAGTCTGGAGACGATTTTTGACTATTTTTGAGTATTAGGGAGGTATTGTTTGAGTATCTTTTATTTTTCGCCCAGAATCCCCCTGTAGGGGGACACGCCCGACTTATAAGCCAAGTTCACGACCTCCGATATCGCCCAGAACATCGGCATCGAGCAGGAGGGCGAGAAATGTTCCGTGGGGGCCGAGGCCACGTGCGCCGTGGAGTCCGTCGACTTGGCTTCGTCTGTGGCGGGGTCGCAGGTTTGGTGCAGCGACTGAGCAGCTGGCGGAACGCTCGGCCGCGCAGGAGTGTGCGGAGGAGGTCCAGCAGGCCTCGGATCTCGTCTCGGGCGTCGGGTTCGCGAAGGCTGAAGGCGGGATCTTCTTAGAGGAGGGCGCCGCGGCATCCTTCGTCCTGGCTTCGTCTGGGGCGGAGTCGCAGGCAGGGGGCAGCGCCGACCACGAGAAGGAGCGGGGCCAGCCCGAGCACAACGGGGAGCTCAACGTGCAGGTGGGTTTCGACGGCTCGGCCGAGAAGAACGTCCAGTGCGTGCGGGACATCAAGGAGCGCCTGGCGGTGGTGCACGAGAAGCTCTTTTCCTTGCAGTTGTTCGACGCATCCGATCTCCCAGCGGGCTTCCGTGAGGCGCTGGAGCAGCAGCGGGCCCAGTTGTGCAAGGCCTTGGGTGGGCATCGAGGACGGCTTCGGCGCTGCGGTCGCGAAGGAGCGGTTCGACGCGGAGCTCGACGAGCAAGTGGCGAACGACCATGCTGAGTGGGAGCGTGGCGGCGTCGGCATCGACGGAAAGATCGGGGAGCTCGAGAACGAGTTGGCGGCGGCGGAGGTTGCCCGTGCCGCGGTGAACGCGGAGCTGTTGCAGGCGAAGGTGCGGGCGCCGACTTGCGGGCCCAACTGGTCTCTGTGAGTCGTGCGTCGTCGAGCTGCCGTACCCGCACCTAGCGGCTGAGGTGGCGGTGGCTGGCCAACCGGCGTCGGCTGGGGAGGCGGGGGCATCGGCGGACGGGGATCTGACGGCGGAGCTTGGCGGGGAGACCCCGCAGGACCAGGCCAGGAAGGAGGCGAGGGCTCGCCTAGCAGTGCGGCGCAGAACCTTCCTAGGTACACCTGATGAATGGTTCGAGCACGCGAGGGCAGCATTGATTGCCGCAGGGCGGGCGGCCCCAGCCTGGGATGGGGATCTCCGCGGCGAGGTGGGAGCTCTCAACAAGCTGGAACGCAAGGCTGCGAAGAGGGCCTCTGGTGGCAGGAGGCGCTGCAGGTAGCCGCCAAGCGGGGCCAGAGCGGCGCAGGCAGCAATTCCGAACGCATAGCTATGGGCGCTCAGAATTCCATTGCGTCCAGCGCGCGCCTGAGTGCTCGGCCAGTGTGGGGCAGCACTGCGAGGCGTCTGTCGGCCTGTGAGTGGCAGGCTTGGGTGCGTGCGCTCCTGCTGGACTCGGCTCGGGTCTCTGGGTCGGGTTCGGAGCCGCCCTGGGGCGCACTCGTTGCAACCTCGCCAGGGTTTCCGGAGTGCTCTTTGTCAGCAGGGAACAACACACACAGACACAACTAACCGTCAACCCCCAAGAAAAGATGGGAAACTATAGGAATTGGGCGGGAAGACAAAAACCCAGAAAATGTAGGAAAGTATTGGGATTCATTTTTATGTGTGTGTGTGTGTGTTTCTTTGTGTGTCCTTGGGCCCCTTGAGTTTGGGGCGTCCGGCCCGGGCTCCCGGGCGGGTCGGGCCGCCCCCCTGCGGGGGCGGGGCGCGCGGCCTCCGAGCTCCGCGCGCGGGGCTCGGCATGCGCTGGCTCTCCTGCGCGGTGCCCTGTCTGTTGGGTCCTCGGCGCTGCGCGTGGGCTCTCGGGCGGTGCCGCCGCCCGCCGTCCGGAGCGAGGGCGGGCTGGGCTTCGGCGGGCGCGAGAGGCGCCGTGCCCGTGCAGGATGGCTCGGGGCGTCCGCGGCCTGCGGGACCGCGCGCGCTGCCAGGCGGCGCGAAGAGAGAGAGAGAGAGAGAGAGGAGGAAGGGAGGGAGAGAGGCGGGAGAGAGGAGGAAGAGGAGGAAGAGGAGGATCAGGAGGAGAGAGAGGCGAGGAGGAGGCGAGGGATTGTTGGAGGGTGGGGCACGAGAGTAAGGGCTTCTTGGGGGAAGGGGACAGGTCAAGGAGGAGGAAAGAGGAAGAAGTGGAGGGGGAAAGGGGGAGGAGAGGGTGAAAGAGAACTAGGAGAAGAAGGGGGGGAGGAGAGAGGAAGACGGGAGGATGAAACAGGAAGAGGCGAGGCAATAGGGAGGAAAACGCAAAAGAGAGATAAGAGAAGAGGCAGGGACAGGAGAAAGGAAGAGGGGGAAAAGAAGAGAGGAAGAGGGGGCAAACACATGACAAATATATGTGAGAGAGAGGTAGGAGATGAGGGCGCGGAGGAGGAGGGAGGGGTGAGGGGAAGGGCAGAGTTGGAGGGCGAGGACCAAGGCCCTCAAGAGGATGACAGTTGCAGCGGTCGACGACTACCAGGAGGAGCAGGAGCACTCAAGTACGATGAGGAGGTGGTGATGACAAGAGGGCACGGAGGAAGAGAAGAAAGAGGATAAAGAGAAGGATGAGCATGAAGAGGGGGCTGTGGGATGAGAGCGGGGAGGAGGAAAGGAGGTGGCGAATCGTAAAGATAGTCAAAGGACGGGGAGAGCGAGCGGAATGCCATGGAGCGGTAGGAGGAAAAGACGAGGAGGAAAGACGAGGAGGAGGAGGAAGAAGAACATGAAGAAGAAGAAGAAGGAGGAGCAGGAAGAGGAGGAGGAGGAGGAGGAGGAGGAGGAGGAGATGTCGAGGGATGAAGAGGAGGGGGAGGAGAGGGAAGATGGAGACGGGATGAGGGGGGGTAGGGGGGAAGAGAGAGTGAAGGGAAGAAGAGAACAGCGGTGATTGCGAGAGGGGTGCAGTGGAGGAGGAGGAGGAGGCGAGGGATTGTTGGAGGGTGGGGCACGAGAGTAAGGGCTTCTTGGGGGAAGGGGACAGGTCAAGGAGGAGGAAAGAGGAAGAAGTGGAGGGGGAAAGGGGGAGGAGAGGGTGAAAGAGAACTAGGAGAAGAAGGGGGGGAGGAGAGAGGAAGACGGGAGGATGAAACAGGAAGAGGCGAGGCAATAGGGAGGAAAACGCAAAAGAGAGATAGGAGAAGAGGCAGGGACAGGAGAAAGGAAGAGGGGGAAGAGAAGAGAGGAAGAGGGGGCAAACACATGACAAATATATGTGAGAGAGAGGTAGGAGATGAGGGCGGAGAAGAAGAAGGGGGAGGGAGGAGGAAGGGAGGAAGGAGACCGGAGGAGGGGGAGGAAGGGAAGGTGAATCCGCCGCCGAGGCGTCCGGGAGTGGGAGTCGTCGGTCCCGAACAACAGTTACGCGAACTTGCCCGGGGACGACAGGCCCTCGTCGTCGTCGGCGTCCTGTCGGGGGTGGTTGCCACAGGTGCGCGTGGCCCAAGGTGTCCCCATCGTGTCGCTGCATGTTGGATCCCTCGGGGCCCTCGCTGGCCCTCGTGGTGGGGTGCGCTGGGGGCCGTGTGGGTCTCCATGGGGACATCCCGGGGCACCTCGGATCAGGGACACCCCTTTGACATCACCCGATCCTGGCCGCCGCCGTCGTGGCTTTGTGGGCGCCGTGCCCCTAAACACACACACACACACACACACCGCCGTGCCCCTAAACACACACACACACACAAAAACACACACACACACACGCGCGCGCGCACGCACACACACACACACACATACACACACATACACACACACACACGCACACACATACATACACGCACACACAAACACACACACACACACACACGCGCACACTCTCACACACACAGACACACACACACATCCATGCACGCAGACATAAATACACACGCGCACACACACACACACACACACACACACACGCACACGCACACGCACACGCACACGCACACACACACACACACACACACACACACACGCGCGCCCACACGCACAACGCACACACAAGGTACACCACATGCCTACACACCACACACCTACACACACCCTCAGACAATAGTAATCGTTTGCACTCCGCAGCCGTCCATGAGACTGGCTCAGGGCGCGGGCGGTGTGGTGGGGCATGCTGACACTGAAGGCACAGGCCGACACACTTGTCCATGATGTGCACGGGGACGGCATGAGTGTGGACGCCAACGGAGATGGCGCAGCTCGGGGAGCGGCACCCGGTCAGAACGCGAGCGACCTGAGGGGCATCTGCGCCGAGGCGCTGACGTATGAGTTTGCCAGGGAGGTCGTCCGACTGGTCACCCGGGCAGTCTTTGCAAAGGCCGCGAGCTCCTGTGCGGCGCGGCCTGGTGAGGTCGTGTCCAGTTCTCCGGTTCGCGAAACGCTCGTCGACCAGTGCAGGGCCCATCCTGCGGCAGGTTCCACGTTCATACGGAACGCGCTTCACGCGACTGCACTCCAACGCCTCGATGACCTTCGTCGCAGCCTACCACTGGGGGAACCGCCAGGAGGAGTGCGAATACTCAGCAGCGGAAGGGCCCGTGGACTTGTTGCAAAGCGCTATTACGATGAATCAGAGGCTGAGAACCCGTGGGTGCAAGAGGCGATTCGCGAGCTCTTAAAAACAGTTGACAACCGAATAGCGGTTGTGTTGCCAAAGTTCCGCTTCATAGAGTACAAGGAGCACGAAGGAATGGCAGCGCACACAGACGGTTTGATCCAACATCCTCTCACTCAGCGAAGAAGCACCCACACGTTCTTGTTTTATCGAAGACGCCTACTGCAAACCGCCGCCGCCCTCTGCGTTTCGGACACGCCTATATGGCAAAATATTGGGCTGAAGTCTTGCGCAGCCATTGGGCTGTGTGTTCCCCAAGCCGTTGTGGAAACCCTTACGGGAGGAAGAGGAGGAGGACGAGGAGGACGAGGACGAGGAGAAGGAGGAGGAGGAGGTGGAGGAGGAGGAGGAGGAACGGGGAGGACGAGGGGGATGAGGAGGAGGAGGAGGAGAACGAGGAGGAGGAAAGAGAGAGAGAGAGAGAGGGAGACAGAGAGAGAGAGAGACAGAAAGAGACAGGAGGCCTGTTGGGGGCCTTTTGCTGCCTCCTGGCGACTGCCGGGGGCCTCGTGGGGGCCTCTTGGGATTTGTTGGCGGCACGCTGAGGGCATCTAGGGTTCAGTCGAGCGTGTCCCTCTACAGGCGGAATATTCCAAAATAGGCAAAAACATAGTCAGGCGACGAGTTTTCGCGTATGTTTCAGTATGTTTGAGTATGTTGTTGACTACTTTTGATTTTTCGCTTTGAATCCGCCTGTAGGAGGACATTCCGACCTAAGCCTAGGGTGTATCTTGGCTTGCGGAGGTTATTAATCGTTTCGCTCATTCCGCCGGCCCATACAGTCTCATGTCTGCCGTTTGCCCGAGGGCCTGGTGTCAATGCGGCGCTTTGGGGGTTCCTGGGGCCGCTTGGGGGACTCCTGGGGCGCTCGGGGGGGCATTTGGGGGGCCTCCTGGGGCCGCTTGGGGGACTCTTGGGGGCCTCCTGAGGGCCCCGTGGGGGCCTCTTGGGGCCTCTTAGGGGCCTCGTAGGGGCTTCTTAGGGCCGAGGGCTCGAAATGTTGTTTCGTGTTCCCTCTCTGGGGCCCCTTTGGGGGCGTTCTTGGGGCCCTCTTGGACCGTTTTGGAGGCTTCTTGGGCCGTCTTCGAGCCCTCTTGGGCCATCTTGGGGCCCTCTTGGGTGCCTCTTGGGCCCTCTTGGGGCGATCTTGGGGGCCTCTTGGGCCGTCTTGGGGCGTCGGGAAGCCGAAAAGGTGGAAGCTCCAAAATCTCTCAAAAACCTATGGAAAAACAATGATTTTTGCCTCCGGGGGCCCTATTGGGAGTGCTCTTGGAGGCCTCTTGGGGCGTCTGGGGGCTATCTTGGGCGTCTTGGAGCGATCTTGTGGCATGTCGGACCCCTCGTGTACCATCTTGGGGGCCTCTTGGGGGCCTCTTGGCCTTTCTTGGGGCTCTCGGGGACGTCTCGGAGCCCTGTTGGTGCGCTCATGGAGCGCTCGGGGGGACCCGGCCGGGACCCGGCCGGGACCCGGCCGGGACCCGGCCGGGACCCGGCCGGGGACCGGCCGGGACCTGGTCGGGGTACTTTTCGTCCGGGGACCCCCAGGGGCCGCCCCGCGCGCGCGAACTAGAAAATTGTTAACCAGTTACCGGAGATCTTAGCACGCCTCTGGCCCGTTGGGCCGGCGAATTTTGGAGGCTCCATTGGGCCGTCTTGGAGGCTTCATGGGGTCGTCGTGAGGCCATCTTGGGACGCGTCGGGGCCGTCTTGGAGCCCTATGGGGCCTATTGGGGCCCTCTTGGGTCCGTCTTGGGGCCCTTCTTGGCCCGTTTTGGTTACTTGGAGGTTGATAGACCTCCTACCCTGACACGTCGACTAGCGAATTGGCCGTTTTCGGTTCGCGAGAGGGCGTGGCGGCCGTCATTTGTGAGGGTCCAGGTCCGTCGGTTTCGGTCCTAGGCCGGTTTCACTAAAGCGTGGTTGACTAAAGGGAGGTTTGTCCACCGCCGAGATATTCTTGGGGGAGCCTCTTGGTCAGAGCATTGGGATTTTCTTGGAGGCCTCTTTGGTTGTCTAGGGGGCCTCTTGGGCCGACTGGGGCCGTCGAAAGACCTCGAAGGGGAGAGCGCCAACACCCTTCAAACACGTAGAGAAATCAATGAAGTTGTGCGAGCATGCTAGATTTAAGTCTGGCCTGTCCTTCTACAGGGGGAATATTCAAAAATAGTCGAAAAAGTATTAGTCTGGGAGTATTTGGGGGGTATTTTTTGCCCATTTTGGAGTATGTTGGGGATATGTTTTATTTGTCGTCGAAAATCCCCCTGTAGGGGGACACGCCCGACTTAATGCTGGATTCTTCCGCGTGGCCAGCTGGAGCAGCCGAGGCCATTTTGGAAACCCCGCGGAACTGCAAGCCGGCGGGCAAGCAAGTGTTCGAGCATGTCTCGCGCCAAGCTCGGGTGGCGGCAAAGAGGGGGGTGATGACTAGGGGGAGTGGATATCATGGCGGGGGCCATGGTATCTCCCCAGATCTCATGGCGCCTCTTCTTATTTCATTACGTCCCTGGCCCCCCCGCTGGGCCGCGCACATGCCGCCGGTCATGATTTGCACCCCCCCCTCTTGGACACCCCCCTCTTGGCCGCTCCCGACAAGCACTGCGCGGACAGTCCTGGTGGTTTCTTTGAGGCAGCCGGGAGTTGCTTGAGGGGCCTGCTGGAATTCTCGAGAGCCATCCAGGGATGGAGGGCTCCAAAGAGCATGTCGGGTCCCCCCCTCTAGGGGGGCCTCGGTCGCCTTCCTGGCCGGGTCTTGGGAGCCTCGTGAGTTGCTGTGGACGCTCACATAGAATCGAAAAGATATGTGAATGAAGCATGCCCATCTATACACATGTATGTGTGTATGTTTGTACGTGGCATCGCTTGAACGTGTGCATTTTTCTCGGCGGGGACCATGGAGGAGCATCCTGGGTCATCTTGCGAGAGAGCACGAAGCTGAATAATGCACGGGGAACGGACGTCTGAGCGATGGTGAGCA